TGCAGAATAGCCAGCTGTTTGTGACGGTGTTTTCTACACAAGGTGTAGGCGCCTTGACTCTGAATGCTTGCTTACGGTATTAAGGTTTTCAGGTAAGTCCCCCTTCTCTCCCTCTTATTATTCTTTATTTCATAGATCCTCATGGTTGTATGGCAGCGTAGCATCAGTTCAAATGGTCGATGTACTGTTACTGTTGTAAATCCCTGAATATCGTCAGGTCCACCGAAGGCCAACAGTAGTGATGCTTATGGACATTCGCGTCACCTTTTACTCCATAGAGGAAGAAGTGGTGTACTCGACAAATTTGTCACGATCCTGAAAGAACTCTATCGCCAGACGTCAGGCAGAGGTAGAGTTTATATACGACTTTCTTCGTCGTTTGGTGTTACAAGCGGAGTACGCCAAGATTGCCCTAACTCACCGTTCTTATTTAGCGGTGCCATCGAGGATGTTCTCCACCGCGCAGTGGAAGGAGCTAAGAGCTGTGGCGTTGAGCGCCTCCCTGAGGACAGAGTTGCGCACCTGGATTATGCTGATGACATCGCTTTAATGGTGGAAGACCCACAGGCCATCCAAAAGGTTTTGAACCACTTAGCGATTGAGGCATATAAGCGCCTTTTGTATTTTGCCCATCCAAGTGTAAAATAATGCTCCAAGAACAGCAAGTACCTGTGCTTACACTCACAGTTGGTGATTGCCCGGAGCAAGTTAATCGCTCCATTTATCTCGGGAGATGTATTATGTCGGGTAGCGGTGTTGGATATGAAGTATCTCAGTGAATCTCTAAAAACTCGCCTGACGTTCACTAAGCTGAGACACCTGTGGCGACGCCACGACATCAGCCTAAGGTTCAAAGACAGAATGTACAGTGCTACTGTCCGTGCGGTCCTCTTGCAAGGCTTGGACCGTTCACGCGGAGGATCTGAAACGAGTATCATTTTTCGACAATCGCTCGTGTGTGGTGGCGAAATCACACTGGAAATTAGAAGTCCGGTACTTGGAGCGAACAACTCCAATCCACAGGGTAATTTGCTCGAACACTGTGGACGTTGGCTCGGTCACGTATTGCGGATGCCAGCAAATCGACTTCATCGTCGAGCATTATTTACAATTCCTAAAGGTGAGCGGAAAAATGCCGAGGCGCACAACCGATGAGGTGGAAAAGGAACATTAAGAATGTCATCTCATGTTTAGCATCAACAGGATCTATCCGTCTTCCAGGTTGGCGACCAAATGGTTGGAAGTTTTGGAAACCATGGCTCGCAACCAGAACTAGGAGCATAAATATCCTTCCAACAACTCTTTTTCATCCTTAATTAAGTTTTAAACGGCGGGTGAAACACCGAAAAATAGTTTTCCATTGTTTGTTGAACAAACCTTTTTACAATGCATTACAGCCATGGTTCTGATGGCACATTTGTCTTTTCTCAGACTTGTGAATATATATAAAAATATATTAATATACAAGTATATGGATGGAATGTAAAAGGTAGTTTCTTAAAAACTTTGTCGCATCGAGAATGCAGAGACAACAGCAAAGTCATTCGAGGCTTGTCCACACAGTTGCACCCTTGCCAGTATACCACTGTGTAGACATTCAAATAAACTTACAAACTTAAACAACTAGACTTACCCAACACCAGCCAGAGTGCATCGCGGTTCACCGTATCAAATACTTCGGTGAAGTCTATAAACAAAACGGCTGGTTTCTCTCTCGGCGTTTCTTCTACGGTTGACGAGCCGTGAAAGCCAGAGCTACGGCCCGAACGGAATTTGCATTGCTCATCTACCACTCAACGACCTGAGCGACGAGTTGGTCGAGCAGTATTCGGGCGACCACCTTCCAGAGACAGTTCACCAAATTGATACCATGATACGCCGTCGCTCATTGCTAGCTCTCTTTGCCATTGTACAGTGGTAGCACAAGGGCGTCCTTCAAGTAGGCAGGCACCTCTACTTCAAAACACACGCGTTGCATCAAGTGATGTAGTGCATTTACCAAAGTGGATCCGCCGTGTTTCAGTAGTTCAGACGGGATCCCGTTAGCTCCGACGCACTCGCACTTGTACAGCTGCGCAAATGCTCATCGTGTCTCAAGCAATGTCGGTGTGTCGGCAAGATACATCTTCATTTCTTACTGTTGCAGCACATGCAACGTAGCCCAATCAATCTGAACAGTTGTTTAGGAGACAAAGTGTGTTGGCCAGATCTGGATTACGTCTGCAATCCGTGTACAAGCAGCGCCTGAAGTAGAATCCAGCAGCATTCGCAGCGGATGCAAAATGGGTCCATACACCTCTTTTAGTTATTTAGGTTGGCGGCGTTTGGCGTAGCATTCCAACTGCTTCTGCTTCTCCGCCCACCAAGCATCCTTGGTGCGGCGCAGCTCTCGAGTCAATCGCCGACGAAAATTACGAAGCTGACCCTACTTTTCCGAGTCGGCAGGGTCGTTTGCATGTGCAGCGAATGTTGCACACTTCGTTAACATCAATGCGCCAATGGTCGCACTGTTGTCATCAAAGCAAACGAATCGCTTACAGTTTGTGCGCCCAACAGTTTCCTCGGCCGTAACTGTCATCTGTTCTTTGATGTGATGCCACAGGTCACTGATTGGTGGGATGCAGCCGACATCGCCAAGGAGAGTGGCTATAGCCTTCTCCAGTCCCATCCTCCTCTTAGCAGTACCTATGGAAAAAACGGCAAATTTGTGCTGATTCACGGCAGTTGAGCAATACAGATTTACGAAATACGTATAATTTGGTCCGCACCAAGTTGTGAGCATTGCCACAAGTGTACTACACGCGTCATGCGCTGGCGTACGATGACAGTCGAGAAAGTGAGCGTGACCAGTCTATGGGTGCGTCCAAGTAGCGACATGACTGCATGCAGTGCAAACCGGGTGTTCGTGATCGTTAGGCTGTGTGGCGCACAGTGAGAGCAGCCGGTCACCGTTCCCATTAGCGGTGCCAATAACATAAGGACTGATCACGTCTGTCTACACTGCGGCATCACGCCCAACGAGCGTACTGAAAGCATCCAGTAGAAATAGCCGGTCACTCCTCGGCACAGACCGCATCACGGAGGACGAGTAAGCGTAAAACAAATTCCTCATGTTAACAGGATAACACATGCGCTAGTAAAAGTGGCAACCTTGCCTCTTCCAAGTCGCAGTCGAAGAGGTGTCAGTCGTGGGCTGATGGCAGTCGGCCCTCCCACCAGCTGATCATTTACGTGATCGGATAGTGCAAATACGACCCCATGTTTATGTGGTGCTGTTTCCCACCCAGTAGTACGTGCAACCAGCATCAGCCTCATGCAGCTTGCCTTGGTCAGTGAGTCGTATCTCACCGAGTGCTGCAATATTGATCCCGTAGGGCGCGATTTTCAATGCGACCCGTGCCGAGTTTCGGCAGAATAGTGTGTGAGTAGTGAGCGCTTTACGCGAACGCATCCGATCGCGCCGGACAATCAATCGCCAGGTGGCCTAAATTGGAGAAAGTAGTGGGTTAGGTGAAATGCAGACGGGGAATATGCAGATAAAACGAGAGAAAGGAGGCGTCAGCGGTAGCATGTTTTCACTTATCCACCCCGCTGTATGTATCAGATAAGGCTACCCTTTTCCTAGTTCCACTGCGCGACGACCAAGGCAGCATGTGACTATCATTATTAGTGTGATTCATGGCTAGTTTTTGGATTGGAATATTGCCGGGGCGTCCACACCTGACAGGAGAGCGATTTGTCAGCCAAACCCTTTGATTAAACGTATTACCTAAAGGCAGCGGGTCATGCGACATGAGTTAGTGAACCGACTCACGCAGAATGGTGTCCTGGCCATGTGGAGAGGTCAAGAACGTGAGCTTATGGCACAACATTGAGAGCAGCTGGTCAACCATCTGTCCGGATATGGCCACGAGAAGCTTCAGTGAGGCATATATAAGGCTGAAAGTACTAGATAAGTTGCTGAAGGAGGTAACATTAGAACAGCCTGTTGTGACACAAGGTGATCTCAGTGATTCGACTGAAAAAACTGTGGAGCGTGATGGGAGAAGACCGATGCGATGCCTTCGAAGTAAGTCGTGCCTTGGCCGAAGGATAAAAAACCCGATATGACTCCCGAACAACTTCGTTCAAGTGTAATTTACACCCACTTGGTTAGCAATTAACGAACAGAGGAAACAACTTCGGCCGGTGGCAGAAAGTGTTACACGCTAGTGTTGTAGTCCGCAAGTCACGGGTTCGAACACACGAGTACGGGCAAGATCGCTCGACTGTTGGTAGTCGCGTGACAGCGAAGCATCATTGCGATATGTCGGCGTACTTCTGATGTACTTTAAGGAAGGAGAGCAAGTAATAAAAAGTGATCTTTTAACCAGATGCAGCTAATGTGATAAGCCGTCAAACATGGAACACCATGTATCGTGACCGTGAGACTGAGAAACAATTGAATCAGCCAAACTCGCAAACATACGATAGAGGATAGCTAGTCTTGCACCCGTTTGAAAAATGCTTGGAACCGATCGAGAACTCATGATTTCATAAAGGTTTGAAAGCAATCGGCGTATTATGTCATACCAAACCCGAGCTCAATGCTTCTTATCACACGTATCCATGAACGAACAGCCCTGTCCCCGAAAGGCTACGTACGTCAGAAGAACCTGATTCATTCATATTATGCTGCAGTTCAATAAGGACACGAAATGCAAGGCGTTCCTGAAAAAATGTACAGGTGCACTGGTCTTGACCGGGGAATTAGAGGCAAAATATACAGGGAGATAAAGGCTGTGAAGCCACTATGTACAACTGAAGAGCATATACAACACCAACAAGAACGAGCATGTCCTTACACAACCGATAAGACAACGGCATATCATAACCTGACAAGCGTGCGAGAGCGAGCATACAACAGATTGGTTTCGCGTCCACGAAGCACATCAGCTAAGTGGTCTATACGGTGGAGAGTATTGAAGCAAGCAAGCGTAAGTACTTTGGCACTATAGATGCTAAATAGGTAACTGGCAAAACTGAGGGGGACACACGCCATTTGTGGTCGGAAGCTGGGGACCGGAACAAGTGTGATCCCTAGCCATGTTACACACTTTGGAGGATGTCAAGACGGGAGAACCCAGCAACAGTGTGTCATCCGTCGACTGAAATATGCGTGAGGCGAGTCCGTTGGAGTTGCTGATCGGAGTTTCTCCACCACGAGATCTGGGGAAGTCGGATGGCTGTAATGCATTGATAGCATCAAAGGGCCGAGCCAATTTCCGCCAGACGCGGCGGGGAGTTGAAACCGCATTACTGTCAGCGAGGGGCAGTAGTGCATGCTTTCTATCTTCCGATGGTGGCTAGATAGATGCATGGGGAAGATAATGTCAGTTCATTAGAAAAGCAATGGGATCAAAATGGCTCACACAGCATGAATAGACGATCAAATGCGACCAAGAATACAAACCAGAATGTTTAACAGCAACACTGGACACATTACCAAAAAGTGAAGGATAGAGTTGACCAGTGAAAAATACTCTTAGACAACCAGCTCACCGTCACGATGGAAGAATCGGACTTCGAAACATAGCGGCTAGTGCCATCTCGAAGGTCATGATTCTCAATCGTGTGGTCGCTTTGGGAAGATGTGGGGGGGCGTCCCAACACCGGAGGATATGCCTGATCAGAGTTAAAAGGGATTATCTTCGGAGAATCTGAAGTATTTTTCCCCTTCATCACAGGAGACATGGGAGTGGAATTTAAGTGAAGTGCGGGACAAGTCCACTGGTTTAAATGGGAGTTTGTGATCAGCTTCCAAGGATGAGGGTGGAGAGGCTCGAATGACGGGGGATCGGAGGGTTTTGCACAAACAGGCCATTGAAAGGATGGTCGACACTGGTGACTGGCCATTAGGACAGGTCTTAGGCGTCGAAGGAGGACTTCGTCTTTGGCTTCGAAGGGTTTAACAGTCAAATGCATGGGCGAAGTTGTTTGGAGAGAATAAGGCGAAGAAACTTTCTCGTCATAACTTCGAAGGAAGGATGCCAATTCGAAGGGAGCCCCCAAACGATCGCATATTACACGTCCACCACGTCCCAGTCGACGTCGTAGATAACCAGTGTATATATGTCGACTGGAGGAGTTTATGGAGGGTACAGTGGCTAGCGCGTAACGCAAATGTGGAGAACGAGTGAAAGCAGGTGTCGAGGTGGAATCGCCGTGACCGACGTCTCTGCAGGGGAACAGATAATCAAAACAGGATTAGCAGCAAGAACTAGTGGGTGTAAGCAAGGTACAATTGCTTTCGCCAGATATGACAGTTAACGTGACACAACTAGGCATGGGAGTGAATGTAATCGGATACTATTCTACTGGCTCGTCGAGTGAATTAAGAAGTGCTTGTGGAGTGGTTAACTAAGAGCAGCAACAGTGCACTAATACGTTGTGTGGATGTCTCACTACCATGCGACCACGAGTAGTTACTTGCGGCCTAAGGATATTGGGAGATCACTGGAACCTACAAAATTCGAACCAGTGGATTGTGGGCAACAAGCCTGAATCCCTCGCTCACCGGAAGAAACAGAAAATTAGAGCTAATATGAGCTCCAGCCAAGTTCGGGGAAATATGAAGATTTGTTTCAGAGCGGTGGTAGCTTAACAAAGCACAGATACACCCTCAATAAGTTTCGTAAGCGAAAATTAGAACGTCGAGTAAGCTTAAGTAGTGACCAAGAGACAGCGGTCGTATCAAGAAAGGGGATCACCGAGGTTATCTCAAAGACAGCAGCCAAAGTAGAACTCCGGGGGTAGTGTCGCCTAGACACCATGGTCGCGGTCGACGTTTCATGCATTGGCGTCCCCACTATTAGACATTGAAGGGAATCCAGAACACTTAGGAGCTAGTAGCTTCGGCAGAGTAGCGAGATGCTAGCACGCAAAGCCCAAGGCTCAGTTTCGTATGACAGTCGAGCACTCGAATGTCGTAGTCATTCACTCATCCAACACGCTAGAGGTGGGAAACACCTGTCATTGTTTTAATATAGTGCAACCAGTTGATTGCAAAAAAGAGACGAAAATGCAATGCTGATTTCCACCGCCGGCCGGTGGTCGAAAGGACAAGGCATCTGCCTTGCAACCCGGATATCACCGGTTCGAGCGTGCGTAGGGGACCGGGTGATCCTCACAGTATCCTTAGCAAACGCGCGACTGGTGGCGGTTGCATGGCAGCGAAGTGTTGGTACGATGTATTGCTGACGTCCATAGTAATTCGGGAGAGTGGGGTTAACGAAAGCCAAGTCCAAAGTGAGAGCATCGTTTCGCTTGACCAAATCAACGGTTGGCTTCCACTGCTCTCATTCCACCCAGATCCCAGTCGCGCAAATGCACGTTGGTCGGCGTACTGACATACGTAATTATTAGTTCAACCGTCGAAACCTAGTGAGTGAAAAAGGTGCTCGTTTCCCACGCAGTGCTCCGATCAGACGAGCCAAAATGGGAAGTGCTAGTGGTTGAGCGCTACTAGCCTTTCCGTCTGTCGGTTTGATAGCACATATCAAAATCATATAGTAGGGATCAACGGACAGCAGCGTTAGACTACCTTTCAGAGCGAAAATGATACGCCGGAGCCAGTAATGAAGGTTGGCAAAAGTACATCCAGCATTTGCTATACAGTTTGTGATCCGATTTCTTCCACAGGTGCTGATACAGCTGAATATCTGAACAAGTTTCAGCTGGCTCCCAGTAATGGTCAACCCAAGTTGGTTCTTGTCAATTCTGGAGAAAAGCCTTGCATTTCGAGGGTGCGAAAAGCCCGAAAAAATAGACATAGTGCTGCATGGCAGGTTTCTTAACTCACATCAGAGCAATATTGTCGGCGTACTAAGAGTTGAGCACTAGCAAGCAACTTCGTTCACATGAAGTTGAATAAAGAACATTGTCGTCTCATACCGTTGAACAGCTTGCCACAAACCCTCACTTTGCACAAACTGAGCGTGTAAAACGCCCTCATAATATGCATGTACCTCTTAGTCCAGCCAGTTACGAAGGACACTTCAAGCTATTAACCTATACGGACCTTTGATGATCAGGGAATACGATCAAGATGGGGTGCAGATAGTTATGGCAGTGGTCCAATAGTTGACGTAGCAATTTAGTCTCCATTACGACGAAACCCGATTTGGTTCACGAATCTGGATTTCACGGGTGACAGGCTATTAAGAACGGCAGTAACATGCAAATTAGAGCCGCGGCGTAAATGTCCGCTGTTGATCTGTCCAAATAAAACGAGATGGGTGTCCAGCACTTAACCGTAAGTGTCGTAACCTATCAAGTCAGACACTGTCAATAAACGCAATTGCGACAATCAGTGAAGGCTTAAAATCACTCACCAACAATAGCTGGACAAGAATGCGAGACAATAACTATGTTTGCTTCACGAGAGCTCGGGGATAGAGGTATTGTTGAACTGGCACCTCAAGTCAGATCTTTAATGAACGATGGTAATATTTAGAATTTAGATACGATAAACCGCGTGACACCGGAATGCCGATATCGCCTTCGGGCATGCTGGCGTTTGAAAATGAAGAAAAACGTTTGCAGTGCGAGGACAACCCAATGAGCGCACACCCAGAATGCGACACTGCGCGACCGAAAAACTCATTACGACGAACGAGAAGACAAATACAAAGTCCGAGACTAAACCCACGTAGCTATGATGCGGCTGCGCGAGTAGACTACGAACACTGTTCAATTGGCCTAGGAGTGCACATCGAGGAGAAAGCGTTTTATCTCGATGACCGGTTCGGTGAATCGCAATGTGATCTGATCCCAACTCACTGATCATAGAAAGATTACTAATTTATGCTTGCAGCACGATGTTGTTCAATCTGTTTAAATCAATCGAGTAAAAGCAAGCGCGAAAATGCGGTAGGTCCAGTAACCATGTTCTTGGAGAACAGATTGACACATGGGAAGATATAAGTATATGGAAAAGAGCTGACAAAATGTCAGACAGAAGAGCTAGTTGTTAGCGGTGATAAAGACGCGGAAGCGCCTGTGACTTACTAACCGCGTGACATGAAACAGAATCGCCAATCACCGATGTGACTGAAATTCAGGGGATCAGCTAAGAATCGTGCAAACATACGGACCTAGTCTTCTGACCAGCAAGTAAAAAAAACTGCAATGGGGTAGCCAATATACGGACGAAAGATAATCCCTGTACGTTGGAGAAGACGTGAGTATTTTCGCCGCCATTTCTGAGGAGTCCGATGTAGACTAGAGATACCAGAGGGGTATGGACAGCTGAGCTCTCCGTAACGTCACATCAAACGGTCGTAGAGTTCTCACTAAAGCCACTACAGAGCTGTCAGTCACTCATATATGATACAAAGAGTAATAACAGCTTTGCACTTCAGATGGGATACGACACCCTACTGTCGATGGGCGCCTAGTTCAAGTTGTCAACTATGATCCGCGCTTTGACACGTCATGATGCCAATAATAGTCACTCGAGAGAAAAAAGGTAACAGCAGTACACCGGTACGCAGTACCGACGCTTCGCTGTCGAGCAACCACTAACAGTCGCGCGCGTGCTATGGATACTGCGAGGGTCGCTAAGTCCCTTAGGTAGGCTCGAAGCCGTGCCATCAGATTAAAAGGCAGGCTTGTGATCCATTAGGCCACGATTCGACTTGAGAGGAATGAACAAGTACTTAAGTCGTCAGACGGAATACTCAAGAGTTTGAAGCGAGGACACGAATGCAAGTAATCCGCGGTATTCAAAATGCGGCTAGGCGGGTGATATGACCGATCATCAGGACTCAACCCAGGAAAACGACAAACACCAAGCAGAAACAGGTTAGCGTTGATCTCATGGGCCTTCACAACCCACAAGTGCTCTCGGTTAATTCACGAACCTAGTCCCAGAGTGCTACCGAAAGCCTAAAAGTGACACACACAGGTGGAACGGCTTTCTGTGTTGACGGAAGTTAGAAACATCAATTCAATAATCAAACGGGTCAAGCTGAGAGGACTGGTGACCGATCAACGCAGTTCGCATTTAAATTGATAACTGTTGCGCGTAGGCGAAGTTATGCCAGGCTGTTAAGATAATCGTGAGGCGGGATCTTGGCTTCTAGAAGTCGATCTAAAACCAGGTGAATCGTGAACCAAGAGGAGTGACTATTCTAGTCGGATATGAAAAAAAACTGGCAAGTGGTGTATGATGATTGAGTATAGCTAACTAGCTCCAGCTCTGTTCGATAGTTAAGTGTAGAAAACCAACGAACTGCTGAATGGGTGACACAACAGATCTAGTTAACATGGCTGGCGTAACCCTGATAAGGATAACTAACAATGATGAAGGAATTACGGGGAAAACGTCGAGACAAGTATTATAACCGGACCAGCTTATCATCTTCTTCTGGACACCCGGACTTGTGTGTCTAGATGATACAAACACTACAACTTCGGTGGTCGACTACCAGACGGAGAGTGATGGTACACCGCAACTCCACCTGACTTCAGTCATGTGATAAGAGGACTTCCATCATGATCACAAACTGAATTTTCTGATCAATTGTTTCTTTGTTATATTGACGATTGCAACAGACCTTACCCTAATGTATATTATTGTATGAGCTTGACGAAGAATTAATCGACGACAACTGTTCGCTTAAAGGTCCGTGTTTTGTTAATCTTTCTGAACTTGAGGTAACAAATGCATACTGCTTGAGTTGTAACTTTGATCAACTTGTCAATTTGCGGCTGTACCATGCCAGAAGCGGTGATTACGAATACAGCACAGTGTAGAAGCAGATAGGATGTTACCAGATACCAACTGAAGGAGCTCGGCATTACCTACCCGATAAGAAAAGCGCCGTAAAACCAAAGATTTTGTATTAGCCCCAAAATTCGGTGGACAGATTCGCAGGACTGTGCACTATCGTCTACTAGGTTGTTGATATCTCACTCACTGTTGACAAAAGGTGGACGTTCAGACGCCTATTGCTGAGTATTTTCAGATACTTTCAGAAATGAGTAATGATGTAAATAACCCTGGACAATACAATGCATTCCCAGCGCCGCCGGCCTTAAACTCTGTGTTGTTCAATAAAATAGTATACTCTGTCCACAGAGGGACGATCAGTCGTCCCATTTCAGCGTGCTTTTGGCCACTCACAGAAGTAAAAAGTGAATGTAAAAATAAATGATATGATATATCCGGATCTG